CATAGTGACCCTATAGGACAGAGTAGAACTGCCCCATAGGGTTTCCAAGGAGCGGCTGGTGGATTCAAACTGCCACCGTTTTGATTAGCAGCCATAGCTCTTAACTACTATGCCACCAGGGCTCTTTGTTAGAGCAGAGCAAATTATTTGATCTCACCTTAACGTCAGTTGAATAGTGGAGCAATAAAGATTCAGAATTGTGCTATGTCTTATGAAGATGATTCTGGTTATTAAAGATAAATCAGAAATGGGGGCAGGGAAGCCCATTACTTGCAAACCTGTTCAATTTTAAAGTTTGAGATAGGGTACATGAGCTAGGGAAAAGATAATATCCATTGCATATGAAGTGCCTTTGAGTGGCAGGTGCAACTTTAAAACACAGTGACAGTAAGGAGAAAATGTAGAGGACAAAGTAGATGTCATCCCAGAAAGATACGATGAAAGGTGCTATGTCTGTTGAAATCATTTTTGTCAATTCAGGCAGTGCATTAGTTCTTGTAGGATAGTAAGTAAAAGTCCTTTGACATAAAAAAAAAAAAAAAGAGACAGAAAAGAGTTTTTCTAGCTCCCAGAAAAGCATCCTCTGAATTAGAGAGGATTATTTCAGTTTCAAGTGAGAAGAAAATTCACACTACTTTGAGCAAAAAAAAGGATTTATCGGCTTGTGTGTCTGAAGAATCCAGGGGTCATGCAGGCAAGGGTAGATCCAGGGCCTCAAAGGTGTTACCAAGAATCATCCTCACTCTCCACCACTCAGCTCTGCTTGCCTGTGGGTTGACTTCATTCCGTGGCTTCCTCTTTCCATATGGTGGCCCACAGCAGCTCCAGACTTAACACCCAACCAACTTAGGGACCCTAGTGGAGAGGGAGTGCTTTTTCCCCAGCCAGTCATTCCAGCCTGTGTCTTAGGGCTGATTCTCATTGGACCACATTGGGTCACTTGCCCGTCCCTAGACCAATCACTGTACCACATTGGGTCACTCACCCATCCCTGGGCCAGTCACTTAGCCATGGGGTGGCATATGAGGATTGACTAGGCCTGGGTCATGTGCTCTCAAGGTGGAGTGAGTCCAGTCTTACCACAGACTTCAAGGTTTGAGAGGAAGGTTTTATTCCCCAAAGACAAATCCAGTTTGCTGACACCGGGAACAGTGGGAGTGAACATCGGGCAGGCAGAAACAACAGATGGAAATTGTGAGCAGCTCTGCTTGCTACTCTGGGTAGAAATCTTTTAGACCCAAGCAGATTTCCAAGCTGCTCATTTGGCTTGATGAGAAGCGATAAACAGAACACAAAAACAGCGAGTGGGTAGGGCGTTGGGGGAGCTCAAAGCTGCTTATTAAAGGAAAGTATGATTAATTCTTCTAAAGTCCCTTCAGCTCATCTCCACTGCTTGTCCACTGGGCCTTTCTTTGCTGCCTCCTAACATAATTACTGCCTTTTCTACGATACGATTAAATGGAAGGAAAGACAATAGAATCAGAACACAGTGCAACTGGATCTGACAGTTGTTAGTTTTTTTTTTTTTCATCTGTGTTCTTGTCCTTGGAAACAGCTCTCCTGTACTCACCAACCATAGAGCTGCCCTTGGAATTGAACACCCCAATGACTCTTGCATAACTGTTCGAAGCCATCTGAAAACCATCCTTATTGTTAATCTTCATGACCTTTGGGTAAGGGGAAGTGAGTGGCAGAAATCTGTCCCTATTTGAAGAAACTAGATAGGAGAAAAGTAGCTTTTCTTACGAAGTTGTTTTGGTGGTGAAGCAGCAATTTGGAGTTGAGGTGTATCTGCAGAGCTCAGCTTTAGGAGCATCATGATGATTTGCTCTGTTTTAGAAACGAGAGCTCCCCTCCATAGCTCATACTTTTCCATCTGCCCCTACCGCTCTGGCCACCTTCTCTGTTATTGTTATATGCCGTTGGGTTGATTCCAACTCATAGTGACCCTATAGGACAGAATAGAACTGCCCCACAGGGTTTCCTAGGCTGTAATCATTATGGGAGCAGATTGCCAGGTCTTTTCTCCCTTGGAGTAGCTGGTGAGTTTGAACCACTGACTTTTTGGTTAGCAGCCGAGCATTTAAACGTTGCCCACCTTCTTTAGGATTAGCAAGTGTCTTCAGCAAGAAATGTTACAATCTGGCTTTTAAACAGCAAGGAACCAGTGGATTAGAGCATTGTTATGCTTCAAGTTTGCCTTATATAAAATTGCTTAAAATATTTTAAAATTTATACGTTTCCATCACTGGCCAGCGAAGAATGAATCCGTACAGCTTTTAACAGCACAATAGTGGCAGCACAGTATCCAAAAGCTCAGCTGACACATAACAAAATCTTTTTGCCCAGCTCCTAAGTATAACCACATGTGTGTTCGGTGTCTTTTAGAGAAGAAGAAACTGTTGTATACACAGTCTTGAGAGTGTTTTCCTCCTTAGTCTTGTATTGATTTGTTCTCTTGGTCATCTGTTCAGAAATACATTCACTGTCTTTGGGAAATTGCAAAGATTACTGCAAATGTTGCCCTTTTTTCATTAAAAATAGCTTCTGTGGTTTTTCTGATAAAAGCAATACATATTTATTAAATAAGAAGACAAAAGCAAAAAATTAAATTTCTCCTTCTGGATTTTTCTTCTATCCATATATACATATATACATACAAAGAGCTCAGCTTGGTTGGCAATTCAAATCCACCAGCTGCTCCTTGGAAACCATGTGGGCAGTTCTACTCTGTCCTGAAGGGTTGCTATGAGTCGGAATTGACTCGATGGCAATGGGTTATATATCCATACATAGATTTTTTTTTTTTTAATTTTCAAAAATGGCATCATACTGTACATGTTATTTGTAACTTATTTTTTCAGTTCAAGGTAATTTCATTTTGATTTGACTGCAGGTGGGAATGGAAGTGGCTCCACATCTCAAAGAAAGCCTAAATAAGAACTTTTTTGACTTCCTCCTGACATTTAAACAGGTAAGAGAAAACTATAAGAACAGCTAATTGGCATAGCAGTTACATGATAGGGCATTCACAAAGCCCCATTGGTTTTCCAAGTTGAGAGTTTCCTTAAAGCTCTCTAAATGTGTAAACACCAAAAATTATACTAGTGTCTGTTGTGGACTATTAAAACGTGTTGATTGCACTGAACAGGCAGAATTAATAAGCGTGTGTTAAAACGAAACGGCTTCAGTTGATCAACCTTTCTTCTTAGCATCTGCTGGCTCCATTTTTATAAGGTTATTTCTTTCCCCAGCATACATTCCCAAAACAACTCAGCTTGGTAACATGGTAAACTTTCTGTGTGTTTTTTCTAGTTCAAAAAATGGAGAAACCAGGCTATTTCTCTCGGGGCCACCCAAATGTTTAGAAGTATGCATGGTCTGTGAATTCTGTGCTTTTTCTTTGTTTTCTAAGTGTGGATTTGATCTCCTGTAGATCCATGGGGATACGGTCCAGAACCAGCTGGTGCTCCAGGGAGTGGAACTCCCATCCTACCTGCCCTTGTATTCACCGGCCATGGACTGGATCTTCCAGTGCATTTCCTACCACGCCCCCGAGGTAACTGCCAGGTAGCTTTAGTGTGGAGGTTCATCTCCTAGGAGGAATGCTGGACTCCGCTCTCGCCAGACCGTAACAACTCCTGCACTCGTGTGCCCTTTGATGTTAACAGGGCTCTTTCATAACCAGCGGAGGCCTTGAGTCGTGCAAACGGTTAATGCGCTCGGAAGAAAGGCCTGGTGATCTACTTCACAAAAATCAGCCATTAAAAACCTGTGGATCACATTTCTACACATGGGGTCTCCATGCGTCGGACGGAGTTGACTTGGTGGCAGCTGTCAGTTCATGACAGCCACAGCAGCATAAATGCTAGCCAACCTTTGCAGAGGGTTCACTACTGTGCAGGTTCCATGCTCAGCGCTTTTCCTAAATTGTCTCATTTAACCTCCCCACAACTCTGGAAGGGGGATGTGGAGGCTCAGAGAGACCAGATACCTGTGTAAGGTCACACAGCAAGAAAGTGGTGGTGAGTGGACACAAGCTGCTGAACCTGACTCCAGGGCCAACAAGTTTTATTGCCTCTTTGCTTACCTTCATGTCTTAGGCTAGATTCTGCAGAGAAGCATAACCAGTGAAATACGTACATATACACCCAGCCTGTTGCCGTCAAGTCAATTCCGACTCATAGCGACCCTGTAAAACAGAGTAGAACTGTCATATAGGGTTTCCAAGGCTGTAAATCTTTACAGAGCAGACTGCCACATCTTTCTCCCTCGGAGTGGCTGGTGGGTTTGAACCGCTGTCCTGTTGGTTAGCAGCTGAGTGCTTAACCACTGTGCCACCAGGGCTCCATGTTGTGTGTGTGTGTGTGTCTGTGTGTGTGTGCATGTATAGAGAAATTTATCTCAAGGAAATGGCTCACGTGGTTGTAGAGGCCGGCAAGTCCCGAATCTCTGGGTCAGGCATCAGGCTGGAGGCTTCTCCTGTCTCAACGATGTTGCAGAGACTGACAAATCCAAAATTGGCAGGTCACATGGCAGGCTGCTGGCCCGCGGGGCTGTGGAAGCTATTGAGTCGGATTGGACGATAGGCTGCTGGCTCACAGGGCTGCGGAAGCTGGTGAGTCCCAGAATCAGCAGATCAAACAGCAGGCTGCTAGCTCAAGTCCCAAGAATCAGAGGTCAGATGATGATGAGCTGGAAGCAAGATCCAGAAAAAGAATGAGTTTTGCCAAAGTGTCCATGTATATTGGCTGTAGTTCACACCCTCAAGTGAACTTTTCTTGTATCAGATACTTGAGTAAGGATGTGACTTGAGTCACACCCTTTATTAAGAGTATGACTCAAGATATACCCCACACTAATTCTGCCTCATTAGGATGTAGAGGTGTAGGATTTATGCAACATAAAATGGAGGATAATTACACAGTACCACAAAATGGAAGACAGTTACATCAGATCACAAAATGGAGTACAAGTACACAATACTGGGAATCATGGCCTAGCGAGTTGACACGTAACATTAGCCATCATACTTCACATCACCCTTTTGTGTTCATAATGAAAAAAGTTGGTAGGGCAGATAGTATGTTCCCCATTTTACAGAAGCAAAGTAAAACTCAGATATTAAATTGCTTTTATGAGATTCTTCTTTTTCTGTCTAAATGAAACATTGCTAGGAATTAAAATGACTTCAAAACATGGCAGAAATTTTCTTTTTTTCTTCCCCGAAACTGAGAAGTGGTTTCAGTAGAACACCGGTTCAAAATGTAATAACTGTTATACATGAAGCTGTCCTTGTCTTCCCTTTGGTGGTCAATAATTCATTATGTGGGAAAGAGAAAAGGCGGGCCTTGATAAAAAACAAGGATACATAGGACAAAGTGAAATTCAGATACATCTGCCTTTTCCTAGAAGCTGCCAGCACGTATTGGAAGTCCTAAATAAAGAAAAAGGATATGATTCTGACTAAGCAATTCTACTTTTAAGAACTTAATTCTGTAGAAATAATCAGACAAGTGTATACCAACACTCACACACACACACACGCGCACGCGTTTATTCATGATTGTTGTTGTTTTTAGCTGCCGTCGAGTTGGCCCTTGACTCATGGTGACCCCATGACAATAGGATTGGAGTGTTATGATCCGTAGGGTTTTCACTGGCTTATGTTTTAGTAGATATTCAGGCCGTTCTTCCTAGTCTCTGTTAGTCTGGAAGCTCTGCTGAAACCTGTTGAGCTTCATAGCAGTACACAAGCCTCCACTGAGAGATGAGTGGTGGCTGTGTGTGAGGTGCATTGGCTAGGAATCGAACTTGAGTCTCCTGCATGGAAGGGGAGAATTCTGTGACTAAACCACCAATGCCCCTCTTGTTCATAGTTGTTATTGTTGGATGCCATCGACTTGGCCATTGAGTCAATTATGACTCATAAGGACCCTGTCTGACAGAGTAGAACTGCCCCATAGGGTTTTCTTGGCTGTAATCTTTACAGAAGCAAATCGCCAGGTCTTTCTCCCATAGAGCCACTTGATGGGTTCGAACTGCCAGCTTTACAGTTATCAGCTGAGTGCTTAGCCATTGATTCACCAGGGCTCCTCTGTTCATGGTACTACTACAACTACCCATTGCTGTCAGGTTGATTCCAACCCATAGGGACCCTAGAGGACAGAGTAGAACTGCCCCATAGGGTTTCCAGGGAGTGGCTGGTGGATTTGAACTGCTGACCTTTTTGCTTAACAGCCGTAGCTCTTAACCACTGTGCCACCAGGGCTCCATTTGTTCATGGTAGGCAACCTAAATTTCAGTCAGAAGGGAATTGATTAAATTATGGTATATCCATTCAGTGGGATATTATGGGGTCATTTAAAATGATGTAGACCCATCACGAAGGTCTGTATGTAGTGACATAAGGGTGTTCACAGTATATTGTTGAATGGAGTATACTGTTGAATGGAAAAAGAAGGTTACGTTTCTGTGAGTGTCATGAGCAGTATCGTGGCCTAGTGTTCATGTTGGACCCTGGAATCCGAGTGCCTGGGTCCGTATCTCAGCCCTGTCACTTAGTAGCAGTCGTTTTGATAAAATAGAGGCCAAGTAACTTGTACCTAACTATTCTGACCCTTTTTCTTCATTTGTAAGATGGGAACAATAATAATCATTCTTGTTTCCTAGTCTATTGTAAGGATCAGCCAAAATGATGCATTTAAAGTGCTTAGCACAGCACCCAGAGCATAGCACTTAAATGTTGTGTCGTGATTGTAGAAAGGATTTTTTATGTCTACATGAGAGAATTGGGAAGGAGATCTGTTAAAATGTCTGTGGAATGTGAGGTTTTGGGTCATCTTAACTTACTTTTCTCTGACTATCTGTGTTTTTGGACTTTTCAGCAAGTATAATGCATTGCTTGTATTTTTGCTTTTTCCAAATTCTAAAGTGTAATGAGAAAAGCAGGGACATCTTATATTTCAGATGGCATTTTTACTGTTAAACAAATTGATTTTAAGTCAAGCCATTGTAAATGGAAGATCGAAAATTTGCTGCCCATTCTCTATGACCTTCAGCACGTTCCCTGTGGATAGCAGCCACACGCTGTCCCAGGCTCCTGGGAGGAGGTACCGTGAACTTGACTGTGGAAAGAGAGCCACCCTGGCTGATCTGTGGAATGACTGAAACGTACAGACAAGATTGCTTTGTTTGGAAATGAGAACACATTTTATTTTTGTCCTTATTTTAGTGAAAGGCAGAATCAGATTTAAAACAAGACATCCATGTCATAAGGCATTCTTCCTTTTATTTCAGGCACCAGTAATCTCAAAGGATGGCAGAAGCTGGGAATAGAGCTTTCCTGGGGTGTAAAACTCTGGGAAATCATTACTGTACCAGAAGAAGTGATTAAAAAATTAGGTCACTTGAGTAATAATAAACTGATTATTGGGGCACTTAGTTAAAGAACTTGCAGCATCTCACAAAAAAGAGAAATTAATCATTTCCAAAATGCGAAAGAATTGATGTCAGTGTGGAAGGCAGTGGCAGAATGCACGTGTCTGCATAACACCTAAAAGCGCCTTTTTTTAATTGTGGTGAAATATATATAACACAATGTTTGCTCCTTCACCCATTTTTGCGTGTACAGCTTAGTGACGTTAATTACATTCACCATGTTGTGCAAACATCACCACTATCCGTTTCCAAATTTCCCCATCACCCTTAGTAGGAACTAAGTGCCCCTTCCTTAAGCAGTAACTCCCATTTTCTCCCTCCCATCTGCCCCTGGTAACCACTAAAAAACTTTGGTCTCTATGCATTTGGAGTACCTGGGTGATGCAAACGGTTAATATACTTGACTGCAAACCAAAAGGTTGGTGAGTCTAGTCTACCCAGAGGTACCTCGGAAAAAAGGCCTGGCGATCTACTTGTGAAAAATCAGCCATTGAAAACCCTATGGATGTAAACCTTCGTCAAAAAACACAATTTTATATATATATATATATATATTTTTTTTTTTTTTTAAAGGAAAACCTGTGGAGCACACTCTGACACACATGGGGTTTCCATGAGTCAGAGTCGACTTGATAGCAACTGGTTTTGTTTTTGGTTTTCTGTGCATTTGCCTACTCCAGATATTTCATATAAATGGGATCTTAGAATATTTGTCCTCACTTAAATGTTCTTTGGAGCCCTGGTGGCACAGTGGTTAAGAGCTATGGCTGCTAACCAGAAGATCGGCAATTCGAATCCACTAGCTACTCCTTGGAAGCCCTGTGGGGCAGTTCTGCCCTGTCCTGTAGGGTCACTATGAGTCGGAGTTGACTCAGTGGCAACGGGTTTGGTTTTTCGTTTTGTTTTTTTAAAATGCTCTTTGACAGTAGCTGGTTTGAGTCAGTTCGAGAGTGGAGCGGTGTGTGTTTGTAAGAAGTCAAGCGTCCAAAACAGTGGGATTGAAAAATTTAGCTGCAGCAATTGTAATCTGTAGGGCAGGCAAGTGAGGTAGGAGAAAGGAGAAATATCTTCAACTGAGAATAACTGATACAAAATTCCAAATTGAAATTGAAATTAAAA